GATAAAATGTTAACAATAATTAAATTGGAAAGGACATAGAGGTTTTTAAAATTATTTTATTTTTGCAATTTTTTGTAAGTTTGAATAACTTCCAAATATGAAGTACAAAAACAAAAGACCCAATGAGCCTATTCTTTTTTTCCCACTCTTTTTTAAACCCACTGTAGTCAGACTGTCCCACAACTCCACTGAAATGTATTTGTCAAGATTACCAGTTATACCCAATTTGCCAACTCTGATGACCACTTCTTACTCTTTCTCTTACTTGACCTATAAGCAGTATTGGACATAGTTTCTATCACTTGCTCCTTCTTGAAATGTATGCATCTCTTGACTTCTGGATGCCACTCTTTTATGGTTCTTATTCTCCTCGATGGTTCCCTTGTATGTCCTCTCTCTTTTTCCAGGACTCAGTCCTCAGAACAAACCCATCTAGGAGTTTCTGTGTGCTGACAGGATCACTTTCTAGTCTTAATCTGGTGTCTTTATTCACTCACCTTAGTTTGAGTACATAATATTCTTCCAGGAATATAAGATCCTGCTCTCTTTGAGGTCTTACTCAAGGTCAACTTCCTGTTACTTATATTCTGGTTCAGAGCAGTTGGTGGCTGTACATGGTAGGAAAAGTCCTCATATTTTATCCTGAGCATACATGCTAGGAGAAGGATGGGAGACTGGAAGTCCTTTCTAATATCCTGGAAATATCTGAAGTGTAACTCTCTTCAAATGTTAGAAAACTAGGACCCAATGAAGGGAAGATACTTGCTGAAAGTCATTCAACTGATAATTGGCAAGGTCTAAACTAAAGCCCAGGTGTATATGCTTTCTCCTTAAGTGGTGATTTAATGTGTTGGTGTCAAGGGCCACCTTAAGAATCTGATAAAAGCTATAGACTTTTTTTCCAGCAGGAAAAAAAAAAGGACTTATCAATATACCGCGTATCAATAACTTTTTTCATTTTATTTTAGGAGTTTCATGGACCCCCTCATAGCACATCTAAACTTCAGGTTATGGAAACCCTGCTCTATTTTTTAAAAAATCCAAATCATGGAGAAATTTACAGGACAACTGATTTAGTATCCTCAACAAATCAATGATGTGAAAAAACTGGAGACAATGGAGTGTAAGTGTTCAAAATTAAGAGTTTTAGAAAGCATAACAAACATTGTTCACAGTAGCAAGAACTTGGAACCAACCATGCTGCCCATCAAAAGAGGACTGGATTTTTAAAATGTGGTACATATACATGATGGAATATTACGCAGCCATAAAGAACAACAAAATCATGAACTTCACAGCAACCTGGATGGACTTAGAGTCCATAATACTGAGTGATCTTTCACAGAAACAAAGAACTGAGTATCACATGTTCTCACTCATAAGCAGACCTTGAACAATTTATCATAATACTTTGAGAAAAGGATTGGCAATCACAAGAAACTGCCAGGAGAGGAGTGGGGAAGCAGGATTGGCAGTAGTGGGAATCTGCCTGGCGAAGAGGAGGGTACACCTCATCAACAAGGGTACCTGCATAACGAACATTTGTATATCTAGCCCTGAATTGTACCCCACATCTTTAAAATTTAAAAAAAAATTTTTAAAGCATAATAGTAAAATGCACTGTATAGACTTTACTTGAATTCTCATTCAAACAAAGTATAAAAGGACATTTGGGAGCCAGGCATTGTGGCGTGCACCTGTAGTCCCAGCTATTCTGGAGTCTGAGACAGGAGGATCCCTTGAGCCCAGGAATTCAATGCCAGCCTGGGAAACAAAGCTAGATATCTTTTTAAAAAGAACAAAAAAGGACACTTGGGGGGAACAACCGGGGAAATTTTCATAGACTGAGTATTGGATGTGATATTAAGGACTTATATTAGACACAAAAATCATTATATCAACATGTTTTTTTAGAGACAAGTAGCAAAGTATTTAGGATTGAAATATGGGGTCTGAGATTTATTTTAAAATACTTCAATGAAGAAAATTAGATGAAGAAAAATTTTGACAAAATGTTAACAATGAATTATAGGTGATAGGGGTTCATTATAACACTGTCTTTTACTTTTATGATTGAAATTTTTTCATAATAAATAGAAATACAGACAACCTCTCTTTGCCATTCTGACAAAGATAAGAAGATATTTGGGTTGTCACAGTCAGTACCTAGGTTCTAAGCCTCCCTGAAGATAGACTTTCTGACTCTGGGACCATAGTTAAACAACCTGCTTGGTTTTGTTTGTTTTTACCAGAGGACCCACTGATATCCTGACTCTAACTATCTCCTATAATATAAGAGAAAGAATGCTATAAAGGATATTATTAGGTCAACTGACAAAATTGGAATATGGATGGTAGATTCAGAAATGAATTAGATAGATACTGCTATTCCCTTTCTGGATCTTTCAGTGAATTTATCCATTTCATCTCTGTTGTCAAGTATGTGGGCATAGAGTTGTTCATAGCAGTGTCTTAGCGTTTTAAATGTCTGTAGGATCTGCAGTGATGTCCTTTCTTTTGTGCCTGGTATTTGTAATTTGTGCACTATCCCCTTTTTGTCACAGATAAGTAAACAGAGGCCAAAAAGGAGAAATGATTCAGGTCAAGACTGCAGAGTCAGCAGGGCTATCCTTGCTACCACTGCCTTGCCTAGAATGTCAGAAGAATCATCTTTTTTGAGGCTTCCTGCTTCCAGCCCACAGCTCTCACTTATTTCATGTGGCCTGACATGTAGTCTGACATGGAAGAGCCCAAATGCAAAGCCAGGAAACTCATTGCCCTTGGCCTCTGAGGTGAATCTAACTTCTCTGAATGTTCTCTTGCCCTCTATCCTCTGCTTCTCTCCCAAAGAAAATACAGGTGGAGGGGATAGAATAACACAGGAGAAGTTGGGTTGGGGAGTGGTAAATGGCAAAGATGAGCTACTTATTAGAAGCAGCTGGAAGGCCCAGCTTTCCTGGAAAGGGACAGTTTTAAGTCGCCAGGGTACAGAGAGGAGATCAGGGAACGGACAGGGTTACTGGCAGTGACAATGTCCTCCACTTTACTACTTATTTTCCTTTAACTGTTGTCTCCTTAGCTGCTACAGGGAAGATTCATAAGCTCCTAGACAATAGGGGGTCCTAAGTGAGTCTACACCTAGTCTTCTTTTTTTTTTTCCTGAGTTGGAGTCTCACTCTGTCGCCCAGACTGGAGTGCAGTGGCTGCTCCCGGCCACCGCAGCCTCGACCTGCCAGACCCGGCGATCCTTCCGCCTCAGCCTTCCAAGTAGCCGGAATTACAGGTATGCGCCACCACGCCCAGCTCATTTTTTTATTTATTGTAGAGATGAGGTCTCGCTGCCCAGGCAGGTCTCGAACCCGCGGGCTCAGGCAATTCACTCACCTCAGCCTCCCAAAGGCATAGGATTACAGGCTGAGCCACGGAGCCCGGCCTACACCTAGTCTTCTAAATTCTCATTCTATCACCCTCCCCAAACTGCATGTCCAGGTGACAACAAAAGAAGTGAAAAAGGTTGACACAGTGACTTGCACCTATAATCTCAGAGTTTTGGAAGGCTGAGGTGAGAGGATTATTTGAGGCCAGGAGTTTGAGACCAGCCTGGGCAACATAGTGAGACTTCATCACTACAAAAAACGTAAACATTAGCCAGGCATGGTGGCATGTGCCCAGCTACTCAAGCAGCTGAGGCGAGAGGATCATTTGAGCCCAGGAATTTGAGGCTGCAGTGAGCTATGATTGCATCACTACAACCCAGCTTAGATAAGACCCCATCTCAAAAAAAAAAAAAAGGAAGTAAAAGACATAGATTTCTCTCATTTTCTGCTTTAACCTCAGATGGCCTTATCCTGAAGTGTCATCCATTGATTGTCACCAGGTGGTAATGACTAAAAAACTTGTTGAGGATTTTTCTTTTTCTTTTTTTTTTTTTGAGCTGGAGTCTCACTTTGTTACCCAGACTGGAGTGCAGTGGCCGCTCCAGGCCACCGCAGCCTCAACCTACCGGGCTCCGGCGATCCTTCCGCCTCAGCCTTCCAAGTAGCTGGAACTACAGGCGTGCGC